TACTTCTATAGTTTCTCCAGTGTGACGACCAGTGTACAATTTTTAACTGAAATGTAAGCAAATCTCAGCTTGCAAAAGTTATACAAATACAAATATATATGACATGATGCCGCTTTGTTTCTTTATTCTGTGACTGGCGCCGTTTCTCTCTATCACTCTGTGTGAGTGCGTTAGATCAACGTGTTTCTGTTTTTGTTCCGGGGCGTGGTGAGGCGGATGAATGTTTTATGGTAAATGCTTGGTTCCGGTCTGATTTAAATGTGAAGTGAATCATCTGATGCACACATTGTGCCATATGTGACGATTACAAAATAATCTTTACGTTGTTTACTTACATCTTGGTGTTCTCTTTCTGTATGAGGCATGTTTTTATCAATAATTGATTGTTGGGTTTTGAGTATCATGATTTTGTTCATCATGTGCATAAAGACCTCAAAATTGTCAATCGTGTTTCGTTCATCACATCTTTGCAGGTTGTTTTGTAAACCTCATTATTGGATTGATCGTCGATAGTGTGTGTGTGTGTGTGAATGATTAGTTTCGTTCCGGCTTTTAGTTAAACCACTGATATCACATTTTTCAACCTCTGATGTCGATGATTTGTGCGGAACACCTGATGACTACCGTGACTAGGTCTTGTGAATCTGACGGGGAATGTTTATTTTCTCAATCTATCGAACGAGTCAGTACTGTCTGTAGATGGAAGAGATTGAGCAAACTTCATGATAATTTACATTGTTTATTTGCTCGGCATCCAGATGATCGATGCGACACGCCAGGCAAACGGGAACAGGAGAAAATTGTTCGTGGTATAACACACACACACAACGTGTTCTCTCATAGGAAAGGAATTCAATCTCCAGTTCAATTAATTGTCATTTGGTTCTCTGTCAAGCTCATGATTTATTTCATTTTGATTTGGCGCTACAGTTGCTCGGTTTAATATAAGTATGATAATGTATAAGGGATGAAATAACAACTGATTCGTACGAGATCAACTCCAGTTTCGTTTCTTGTCTGTAACTATATGCAAGGCGCTATTCGACAACCGCAGAATTCGATTCAGAATTAATTCGTGTATGTGTGTGTGTGTGTGTGTGTGTGTGTGTGTGTGTGTGAGGTTGCATGCATCGTGCATCTTTCTGTCAGATTTATGGACAGAGACAGGTCCATCGCTTATACTGTGGAATGTAGTTAGTTTATATATTTATTATGAAACAAACACACACATACCGGCCACTGGGTGGGATAGGACTTGTATATGCCCCGAACATCTGAGTATTCACATTCCATTCGCGTTGTGGTTTAAAGATCATACCAGTGTAACTATGATTAACTTGTGCTGAGGATTATCTGTTCTGTACACGTTATATACGCAACTAGTCATCTCGGTTTGGTGTTCTGTTGCCCAAGTGTTCCGTTTTGTGTCGAGAAATGTACATCTAACGTTAGTGGCATTTTTTGCCGAAAATCCCTCAATTGAGACATCATAAAGGTGCTCTGTGTGCGCGGAAGCTGTTGATACACGTGATCGGACAATCTTGCCGTATAATTTATGCATTCTGTCGATGGCTTCAAACTCAGGTTGGTCTATGTCACAAAACTGGATGTGACCGAGACTAGTAACGAAAATGTCTGATATCTCATTTTCTCTTCTTTGTGTGTGTATGTATGTTTGCAATGCTTAAGTTAAATGTATACTTTCATGTGCAGTAATTCCACACGATGTTGGTTGATTTCGCTTCGGTAGCTGTTTTTGTTTTTGTTGTTAATGAAGTTATATAAACGAAATGAACTGATGCCAGTCGATTTACAACTATTCGATTTAGAAAACAAATGAAGGATCTTCATCCCAAATGAATCAGTTGTTTGCAGTTCGGTTTCATCCGAAAAGACGTATTTGAATCGGGAATATGGTGAACATTCTGTGTTTCCTACCAAGACCGCTCTCGGCGTCACACCTGGGTTGGTTAAGCTAATTCACGACTTGTGTGAACATCCTTTCTCTTCGATTTCCTTTCTGCTTCAGACGCGATCATGTGACTCATTTCTCTCTCTCTCTGGTCATCACACATAAATTGGTGTATCTGAATCCGTTTCGTCATCCTGTCTTCTAATCATGCATGTTTTAATCAGTTTTGTCAGTCAATCATTTCATTAGCGCACAGTCAACAGAAAGTTTGCACAATGAAAGTGGCTCATTAGTATGTGGTTGTAACACCAAAATAAATGACCCGGTTTTCTGATATATGAGAAATAACTTGTATTTATTTGTTCGGCAAACCGAAGCTTGATACTCTAAAATTGATTGAGCCAATCACACAAGGTGGTGACCGTCGACCGTGTAGTTCACGGGTAAGGGATTGGAGTCCCAACCCTAAGGTTCGCGGTTTGAGTTCCGACAGGGACACATAAAGTACGCACTGCTGACGAGTCTCAAACAGGACGAAACAGCTGTCTAGTGCTCTTTGTCGGTCATCGTAAGGATTTCCGAGTGCCGATTTCGGATGTTCTCTTTTTGCTATCTCTCTTTCTCTTTCGGCTTGTCTTCATGCCCATTGGATGCTCGTTCAGTGCACGCCCGGCATTCCACACCAACTAAACGTGGGAATAAGAGAACAGGGTTATTCCGACTGTGGTTGACTGACGCGGTGCACAGAAATGATCGAATCCCTCACTCCGTGGTTTTCATTGGCACATTTTTTCAAACTGTCTCATGCCACCATGCGAAGTATCAATACTGCTGGTGTATTCTTTTTTATTTTCAAACACAATGAACCCAAAATATCACCAACAAGCCACAAAAGTCATGTAAAATAATGATTAGTCACTTACAAGTGTGTTGTTGTGAAAATTGTCTCAGTCCATTCCGCTTCCACGCAAATCGTCCATGTGCACACCTTCCACAACAAATGTGCAACAAAGTGTACTTTATAATACTCTAAATGTTTCCTGATACTTCCATTGTTTCCCTGTCCGAAATCGACGTCTATTCTCATATAGTCGTCTCATGGTTAACTTCGGACTGTTTACAGATCTCATTAACTTATTTAGACAAAGCCCGTGATGTTTTCATTTATATTTCACACTTTAAATTATCTGTTTCGACTTTTGTTCAATAGTACATCAACTCAATAATTATTTAATAATTGTTTGTGATATATCTTTGTTGCGTCAATATTCCGGAGATGGTTAAGGTAATTGATAGCTCAAAAAATAAAACGGTCATATATGTTATTTCGCTCACTGCATCTTTTTCTGGGTTGCTATCCTTTTAGCGCCACTGTGCGATCGACACATTTGCAGCACTCAATGTGTGTGTGTGTGTGTGTGTGAACCGCAGAACCTGAGTGATTATTCCAAATGTCATAGATACCGTGTGTGAACCCGGGTGAAGTGTAGTGGGGGATGAAACGTGAATGAACTTCGTTTTCTCGTTGCATGTTATCGATTTATGCCCTAGATTTTATTTTCCGAACGAACTAAACAAAATGGGCAATGCCGTCTTTGTACACTGCNCCCCCGAGCACGTCAGGTGCGTAATTGAAACAGACGGTTCCCATATGATGCACCTAACACAATCGGGTAAGTTTCAGGAATACATAAACCGAGTTCGCACCGTCAGCACACATGTTTCTTATGTAACATATGTGTAAAAAATAGTTGAAACAATGATTAGGCATGTGCTCTTCAGGATAAGGTGATTTAACTCGATTTGTATTCACTATATTCGTGCTTACGATTTTTTATCCCATAGTTGTTACATTTTTGTTGTTGTTTCTTAACGGATTTTGTTACAGTAACTCAGATAAGACCAACAATGTAACGGATATGGAATCAGTCCTGGCATACCTATTCTCTGATGAGAAATTGGGAGCTTTCATTGTGCCCAGTTAAACGCTTCAACTTGTTACCGATCTGAGCTGATTCGCACTCGTCCAGCCTGTTTCTTTTCTCGTGAATCTACCAACATTTTTATTATTATTTCTCAATTCAATCATTTACTGGAATTCCTTTAATCTTCGCATCCGCATCATAACAATTGTCCTTTGATTCTTCTGGTTAAATTAGAACAGCTTACAAGAAAACCAGGATTTTCTCCCACTATACGGGAGAAGAAGCTTTTCACAAATGTGGGGTTTCATGCGTCGGGACACGTTTACCTTTCAAATATATGTGTTCAAACATTCTCATCCGACTGAACCATGATGCCCTATCTCCTCCCCTCGCGCCCATCCTATCTGTTTCATTGTTATCACAAGCACAATATACTCTTCTCCGCCCACCCCTCCTGATCATGATTCCAACCGTGCACGTTTAGCCCTCAGGTGATCATCTTATCAGCCTACCGGAACAGGCCAGCTGGTCGCAAATTGGATTGGCGACTTGGAATGCGAATCTGTTGCAGAAATCCACTCGTGGTTTGTGGACATTGGATAGCGGACGGAACAGTGCCATTCGACCAAGATCGACCGATCCGGCTATCCACACATTTGCATGGCGTAAAGTCCCGAACCGGGTGGCTTCCGCACGTCAGTTTGAATCGGATGATTGTTTCACTCAGGATGGGGATGAAACATACGGCCCAGAGTCGCCTTCCAGTAAGCAGGAATAATTCTCGTTTTGTCTCTCCGATTCTCATCGAAAAAAGCCAAATTGACCATGAGTTAATTATGATTCGGACTTTTCCCTATCTACACAGACAGAGTGAAGGATAGGGCGAAATAGGGTGAATTAGAAAATCTAGTTAGGTCTTGTGGCGGTGGTAGTGGTGGGTATGTGGTCACAAGATAGACCCTTCGATCGCGTCCTCGGCTTTGTTACCTCATCACGGTGATGGTCAAGTGGTTAGGGTCATCAAATTGTTGAACCCGGAAGTCTTAGGTTCGAACTGCTCCATTGCAATCCATCTCTCCCATTTCTGTATTTTGCCAGGCGGCCTTTGTATGACCGCGACCTCTTTCTTAACAGTTGATTGTATATTTGTATATTCAACAAAAAGGTAGTAAAAAGAAACTTATTATTTTATAACTCTAACTATGGAGGTATCATCGATCGCTCACATCAAACTCACCTCGTGTGACCGGAAGCATGTGACCTTGGCTTACCCTGACTGTAACCAAATAAGTGCAGCTATACACACACACACACACACACCATCACACCTAAGTAGATTTCTTAATTCACTTCATTTGTCTGTGTTGTTGAATGTTGTACCTATACGATCGATGAGCCTAGACGAAAGGAATTTCTCCATGCAGCTTTTGTCTTCTGAATAGCCTGTTCAACTTCACTAGGGGATCTAAATATTTCAGAAAGAGGGACGTTTTCATCCACTGGAAGCCAATTGGTGTCTATACGTTTTTCGCATGTGCATTTTTCTATTTCTTGGTGTGATAACTGGTGGAAGAATGAACCACACGATCACGAGGACCACACAGATTAATTGGCAATAACGACGTACTGCTCGATCATGGTAATCGGCATCCCAAGAAATGGGGCTTGTAGCCACATACTGCAGTCTGAACGGGTCAATTCGATGAACAGAACTGGCCGAATCGGTTGTTTTACTCTCAAGCGGGAGAGCAGTATGGTTTTAGACAATAATACCCGATTGATGCTTACGTGGTCTATCTTAACGTAGATTCGTTAATTTTTTGTTCTCATTTGAATGGAGTAAATTGCTAGATATAACGGTTCACTGAAATTGTTTTTGCTGGTTCTCTCTTTGTTAACTTTCATATGTCGTTTTGTCCTTAAAGGACCACGGATAACGACTGCTACCCAATCCAACAGATCTCCTCATGTGCTGTTCTGATGCATTAACAATATCGTTCCAGCAAATCGACTCCATGTGAATACATCTTACGTTTATGAACTACTGTAGAGTCTGTACAAAACACGTAGTAAACACCGCACGCTTATTGCTGCTCGCTTCTCAAACGCGCTGTGAGCACCGGTTTCCTTTGCACCGTTCGAATGCAACAATTTCGTATTCTCAATCCAATCCATGAGATTCACAGATAAATTTCGCCCTGGGATCATGAACAAGATGCTTGTCTTGTTACTATCTGGCTGTCTCGTGTGCAGTATGTCGAAAACCGTTACTTATTACCTCATTCTTTTGTTGCACTAAGCGTTCATGGAAAGTACTCCCACGTTTGAATACGTTATCCATAATCAATCGGAAGTGGTATTAGTTTCTGACGTTAACTGGCTTCAAATGGAGTACATCAATGTGATTGATAGAACGTTATGCATTGTGTGCGTATTACTGTTCAAACAATCTCAAACCCTTTCCACATATTTAGTTGAATGTCCCCTGCAGTTGGTCACGTGGTCTGTGGATCATCAATTACGGTTTTATCCGGTCCAAAGGTCCTTGACCAATACGAACAGAGAACCGTTGTCCCGGGCTCCCTCTCTCAGTACCACTAGTAAACACATACGACAAGGTTCGGGGGTCGTAGAACTCACTGGTCCGATGCCATGTGCTTCCGGGTCGGTGCTGGCTGCGACGACATCAACCAACGCCAACATAACAAGCACTTGCCCTAGGCCCATGACGACGTCGACGTCATCTTCATCGGCTACGACAACAACAACGACGACTGCAGCCATTACTACTCCGGTGATGGAACCTCGCCCACACGCAATCCGTCGGTTGCAAAGTAGCACTGGTGCAAGCACGAAATACAAGGTATTATCGATTCACTTACGTATCCGGTATGCTTTTGTCTTCCACAGGTCTTCGATATCCCCGTCCACCTTTCAGACTGGTATTTGGCCCGTGGATGAATGTGTGGGTGCAGACGGCTAGAGGGGTTGAAGAGTCGGCAGTAGGGGTGGGGTATGTACGAACTGCGAGTAAGTAGCAGCAACAGCAGTAACAACAACGGTCAGACACTGTAGTTCGTGCCCTCCTCTCCCTCTCCCCACTTCGCCCCGCATGATTCACGCGTGCGTGTTTGCATGACTATGCCGGCAATGAATCGGTATAGAGCGAGCAAGCGTGCGTGTACACACACACACACACACACACACGTGAACGGGCGCATTCCAATTGTCTCATGATATGCTCCGTCTTCCCTCATTTCTCTCTCTCTCTCTCTTCCATCCATTTTCGCCTTCAACTAGAGCAAAATGTCATGCGAATCCGGGTCGTCTCGCCCTGTGTGTATTATCCACACAGCATTGGACGGGTGGGAATTCGTCATAGTGACCAAATCGATCGGCTGATGGGATAAAATCAATTTTCCCCTGTAAACATAACTTTTGGTTTTACCGATGAAAATTCGTAATCGTTCCACTAAACGAAAACAATGAAGTCGTGCTTTGATCTTCCTTAGAGACAAAGAGACCTGAGGTAGAAAACTATAGACAACCCACTAATAAAGAGTGTTGTTTTTTTACCAGATTCTGGGACACTCTGAAATTGTAAGGATTCATGACCGCACTTCAGTGATTAGAACCGGCATTACGAACCCTGGACGGTGAATTGGTATCATGCTTGGTGACAATGAAACCACCGAATGAGGCACAGTAGCATCGAACAAGATCGCAGACAGGTCCAATAATCGCATTTGTGCTTCTCATATTTACCTCGGTGATTTTCTCATTGCTGAGGATATTTGCGTCAATTGCTATTCGACTGGGATTGTATGCTATTTTCTTCTAGTTGTTTCAACTATTCACTACATGACTCGTGAAATTGTACCTTTTGTTCAATTGGCAATTCAGCATATGATCAGAAGAGAATTGCTTATGTGTTCGTGTGAAATTCGTGCTTAAGAGAGCGGAAAAAGAAAATACTGAAAGCGATGGATTCACTTCCGTCAGGCGTTTCTTGTGCTGCGCATATCGTTTGTTGATGTTGTTGTTTTACGAATTTTCAAAATTAGTTTGTTCTCGTTTCCACGTTCATTTTCACCTGTTTCGTTGTTGTTGTTGTTGTTGTTGTTGGTGATGATGATGATAATGGTGATCGTGATTGTAAGCACTGGAATGGGTTTTCCTCTCACGTTCACAGTCCGGCGATACACCTGCCTCGTCTGTGCGTGGTGAGGACACACATTCTCGCCCCGGGATCAGCAAGTGGTCCTCATCCGGACTCATGGGTCTTACCAACGAATCTCGAGATCGCAGTAAGTTTTTGTTGTTGTTGTTAAAGTGTGGTTTATATACGTGCGCGCGCGTTTCACATTTAAACAACAGTCCGACTGTGCAAACTGAATCTGAGTAGTGTTTGGCTTCCTCTCACCCATTTATAGCCTAGAGATTTGTCTATTCACACGCGATAAAAATACGGGACAACTCATTTTCCGCATATTTCTACTCCCTAATGAAACCATTTCCGATCAGAACGATCAAACACGCTGTGGAATACGATATACCCTATTACGACATGCAACAATATACTGCGTCTTTAGAGCGTCTGAAATGCCAAAAAGAGGCTGAAAAATATGTGGGACCCCCTTATGCGGATGCGATTTCTCATTGAAGATGTCGCCAACCCATTAGGCCCAATAACAGACTGATTTGTTCAGTCTGTGAAGTTACTTACTAAACTAACCCCCGGGGATCCAGAATCACACGAACCGTGTACACCCCGATACACGTGATGCGCCCTAGTTGTTAAGTTCCTTCCGATGAACTTCATTCTCGTCGGTGGGGCTTACCTATCTACCACACGCAGACCAATTAACAGATTTCGAGAAAGGTAAAGTATCTGCGTTTTACCAACTGGGACTCAGTTTACGTGAAATAACCAAGCCCCTGACATCGGAGGCCAGCATACGGAATGCAATGGGCAGTGTTAACCCTCCCCCCCCCCCAAAAAAA